ACTAATGATAATTACAATTTCATAAAAAAACAAAAAAAAATTAAAAGATACAAACCTATTCATGGTATAAATATTTTTTAGTTCATAAACAACAATTTAACTATACTATTAAATGGTTGTTACAAAGAAACTATATTATGAAATGAAAATACAATTTTTTTTTTTGTATTTATGAATAGTGTGATACTATTCACAAAACACTTAAAAAAAATATGTCATCCACTATATTGTTCCATTGGAGCAAGATTACACCAATTATGGTGTACTACCTGTGTCGCTGGGCTTGCCCTAAGGGAAAACTTAAGAACAACTTCTTCTTGTAGCCAATTTTACTCTCTTTTTGGGTGCTTAAGAAACAAGAGTAAAAGGGAAACTAATGCATAAAGTATTGAAGAAACAATTATTCTATTTTTTATTTTTTAATTACGTTAAGTTTCCTTTTTAAATTTGGTTTTATACTGATTTCAGGGTTTTGTTTTTCTATTTAAACACATATTATTGGACATATCATTATTGTTAATTGAAAGTTTTAGAGTTTTTTTTGTTTGGGTGGAAAAAGACATTATTATGTTTTCCGGTAAATTTTGTTGGTGTTTGATATGTCTTCTAAGGTTGTCTTTGCATTCTCTCGAAAATAGTTTATAAACATTGGTGAAGAGAAAGAGCTGTAGAAAAACACAGTAGGTGTCTCTTGTATTACTTTAAGCGAGATTGCTATGATTATTAGACTAGTAAAGCGTAGATTACTCTTCAAAATTGGACAAATGTGAGAAACAACAGACTAAAAATCTTGAACTTGAACATATAATCTTCATTATGTAGGTTAGTGTAAGAGTAAATCAAATATATGTTCAAGTCGTTTGGTCTTGGTTTTTGGTCCTGACCTAACCATCAAAATTGCAGATGAATAAATTTACTTACCAAATTACTAAGGTCGTTTGGTCCTGGTTTTTGGTCATCATATGCAATTGAGTCCACCCATTTGATACGGAGGTTTGCGATGGAGCCGCGACCGTTAGTATCTTCGGATTCGTCGCTTTTGGATTCATTTTGGATTCATTGGTTTTTTCAGAGGAAAAAAACAGAACCATCAGCATATTTATCTCCAAGCGAATCTGGATCCGAATCTGCATTGAATATACAATATTCCATTTTGGATTCGACTCCATCATCTATTTTAAACTCCACACCCTTTATTGGTGGTTGGTTTTGAGAGAGGGCTTCTTTAAGGTTTTGAGATCGAGAGAGAACGAGAGCTTGAGTTTCACTTATATTATTTACACTTTTATACTCATTTTCATATTAAAAAATAACTGGATTTTTGTGAAATTATTAATGTTTTGATCATGGT